AAGAGCTACACAGCGTCCCCTCTCTCTTCATGGTGACACTGCCCTCACCGAAGGCTGGCGGGAGTCTTTCCCAAAAGATTTTGTGTGTTTGAGGGAACACTGGACAGGTCTTTGGAAGAGGATCACTGAATAAGGGGACCTCATCAAGCTGAGAAACTCTTGAGCTGACACTAAATGCGGTTGCAGTCTAGGAGGGTGTTAAGGGGCATTATCAGCCTGTTACTGCATTGTTTGGGTTGTGACCACTGTTGGAGATGGGATATTGGACTGGCTGGAGTCCAGAGAAGTTCATAGGGAGCCCAGTGCAGAAACATCTACCTCCAGGAGCTGGCCTAGAGCAGATTGGGGGTTTGTATCCCTGGGTGCAGAAAAGCCTGAACAGCACTGTCCTTCTTTCTAGTCTCAGCCATGTCATCATGCACAGAAACACCAGTACAGACAGGCTTGTCACCTCCGAGCTCCCTTAGGTCCCAGCACAGCCCTGGGGCAGAGCTGGAGCACTGCCACGAGGAGCACAGCCCTAGGAAGTCCCCGTTCCCTCGCTCATCCAGCTTATCTCCGAGATAAGTCTGTGCAGCCTCCCTGACGTCAGTGCAGCAGTCAGGAATCCCCTGCACGAAGCCGCAGTGGCTTCGCCCCTGTTTTAATAGTGCACATTGTTTGGGAGCCTCCAGCGCTTGGATGCAGGCACATCATTTCTGCTAGCTTGCGGCATAGCCTCTGGGAACCCCCGCCTGGGAAACGTGACTGTGTTCAGCACATCCGCAAACCTCAAGAGCTGAAACACAACCGGCCAAGTCGATTATATTACGGCTGAGATTCTTAAATAAACAGCACTCGATGAGTGCAGCAGGATGTTTAATAAGAGCCTCCTCAGCTCCCCGTGCCCCCCACGCCCCCCGCCTCCCATAATCACTTGTAGAGGCAGCCCTATAATCTATAGCCAGTGAGGGGAGAGGCAGTGAGGCAGAGTAATTTGTATTCCAGTTCTGCTACTGCTCCTAGTGCTTCCAAGAAGCAAGTAAAAATAGCACTCCGTCATTTTGTAAATAATAGATATCTCCTCACAGGCCCAGGGAGTCACGAGCACTTAAAAGGGAGATTGCGGGAAGAGGGGGGATATCTGCCTTGAGCCAGGGCCAGGAAGATGGGACATGGGGACTCGGAGAGAGTAATTTGTATTCCAGTTCTGCTACTGCTCCTAGTGCTTCCAAGAAGCAAGTAAAAATAGCACTCCGTCATTTTGTAAATAATAGCTATCTCCTCACAGGCCCAGGGAGTCACGAGCACTTAAAAGGGAGATTGCGGGAAGAGGGGGGATATCTGCCTTGAGCCAGGGCCAGGAAGATGGGACATGGGGACTCGGAGGGGGGCACAGGGGAGGGCAGGTGAAATGGAAACCCTGAAGCACCTCAGCAGCAGCCGCTGCTGCTTTACACCTTCTGCACACACAAAGGGAAGCAACTGACCCTGCTGGCGGGGGCTCAGGGCGGCAGGATCTGGCCCTCCACACAGAGATAATAGGGATGTTTATCGCCTGCACAAGCAGCTAGATCTGGCGTAGCAAATTCTTGGAGAAAGAGAGGGGTAGCTTTTAAAGAGCAGGCAGGTGTAGGGAGTGCCATGGTAACACTGTGGGGAGGGATGTTACAGCTTTTGTTTTACATTTGCATTGCAGATCTGCCCAGCTGTGGGGGATTTCTGCAGGCAGGAGCAAGGCAGCATTGCCGTGTGGGAGAAGGGGCAGCTCTCATCGACCTGTAGCACCTTGTTCCTGCTCACACACTTGCTCCAAATGGTTTTAGAAACACAGTTGTGCTGAAGCTTGGGAATAAGCTGAGCCTATAAATGGGAAAAGCCCCCAGACAAGGGAATCAGCCTCAAACAAATGGCTTGGGAACATGGCATGCCACTCGGGTCTCTAAATTCTGCCCATGTTCAAACGTTGAACCTGAAAATCTCTTGCTCTTCTAGTTTCGTGAACCAAGTCTCTCCTTTTTTGTTTCCCCAACTACAAAACAGGACTGGCAGCATCCGCCTGCCACCCCAGCAGGCTTGAAGGCTCAAATCACTTGTACATGTGAAAAAACTTTGAGTCACAGTGAAGGATGATGCTAGGAAAGGAAAAAATGCCATTTAATGTTCTGCAACAGGTCTAGGGAAAGTGCCCAACCCTCTACAGTACAGTCCTTAATTATTCAATCTTTGGTGAGAACTGGGCAAGACAGCCAAGCTGCAGTGTGAGTGTGTCTGCAGATTGAGGAGGAGGTAAGGATTTCCCTGCCATGTCTCTGAGCAGAGGCAGGAGATGCTCCTCTCTCAGCTTTCTCTTGCTGCAAAAGTAGACGCAGTTTCTTCTTGTTCAGGCTCAGGATGGGTAGATGTGAGGGTAAGGAGCGGGGAGGCTGGCTGAGTAGCTCCTGATTTCTCTGGAGGAGAATGTCTCACCGTCACAGAGGCGATGAGCTCGGGCAGGGCTGCAAGCAGTGCAGATGCTCTTGGGCTGTAGGATCACAAAGGAAGTGAATCTCTGAGGCTGGAGCTCTCTCTGTTCTGCTGGTAGTTTACTTATCTCTGGAATTCCCAGCTCTGCTGAAATCCCTGTTTGCGTAGCAATGATTTAATTTCAGAAATCCCACTGGAACCCAGCCAAATCCTGCCCTTAGGAGCACATATTAACAGGAGAAGTTCAGTCTGGCTTCTGCCATGAAAGGGGCAGGGAGCCCATTTTTCTAAGTGCTGGGGGACATCAATAAGCCAGTAACCGAGCCAGCCCCCCCAGCTCGTCCCTGCACTGGGCACTGCCTTGCAGGCGCAAAGGGGTCCCACTGAGTTCGGCGGGTTCGTGTGGCCTGGCCCGGGGGGTACATCTGCAGTTTGGAAATGGGCGATCCACTTCAGACCCGGGCTGTAATTAATTATTA